AATAACACACACCCTAAAGCACGCCCATTGATAATCTCACACACACACACACGCGCACACACACCCCCACACACACAGCCCCCCGGCTTCCAGAGAGGCTGCAGCATTGATTGCGTTAACAAATGCGCCTTTGGATTAAAGAGAGGAAGACAAACTATATCAAACCAAAGGGGAAGCCCAGGGCAGGGGCAAGGTCTGCAGCGCTTGGTCTGCAGCGCTTAGCCTGCCCCTGACCAGCTAACAGGAGGCTTTGGTTGGAATCACCTGCATTTAATAGGACATCGTCCTTCTCCCTCCCGGCCCCAGTAAGAAATCAGCCCAGGGCAAGGCACGTCCTGTATTGAAACAGGTAAAGCCCGACTCTTGCAGAAAGGGTAGGGCTTAAGTTGATGGTATGGGGGAGTATTCAGCGGCTCAGAGTGGGCTATGCATGGAGTGGTGGATGGAAGGGGTCCAGTGTAATGCAGACAGCTGCTGCTCTGTTGACCTGGTCCGTTGCTGCAGAATTGCGAGGGGTAACCGGGTTTGTTCTGATCCCTCTGTTAAGGCTTTGATGTGGATTCACACTCCGGCTAGAGACCCCGGGCTCTGCTGCCCTCCCCCCTGCCCCTTGAGATGTGCCCATCGTTGCTGGGGTGAAAGAGACGCCCGGCACTGCACGGTCTTGCGTTCCTTTCCCAGCACGTGGGCTGGACGCTGATCCCAGGCTCAGACTGAACACGGACTGTGCTGCCGGCCTGCTCAAGCAAAGCCCCCTCCCCATCCCCCACTGAGCTCAGGAAGCCCCACGCAAGGCTGTAATTAGGGTTGGCCTAAGTCTACATTGGTGCCTGAGGACAGAGAGGATTTGGTGCCTCCTCTCAGCCCTTCCACTCACCCAGCTGGCCAACCCCGCCAGCCCCCACTCTCCTGTTCCTTCCTCCAGCGGAGGTCCCGCTTGTTGCTCCAGTGAGGGCAGCCGGTCCTCTGGGAATCCTTTATCAGCTGCGGCAGCTTCTCCTGGGAGGCCCCGCTGCAGTGTGCGGGGCTGAAGGGAGTTGCTGAGGTGCCCGCAGAGGCAGCTGGCGTCGTACCCAATCTGGGGCTAGAGACGGCTCCGACCCTGGGCCTGTCCCTTCATTCCCTCGAGCACCAATATTCAAGCTCCTTTCACGTGCTGGGGGCTGCAGGGGGGTTTCTTTTTTCTGCCGCTCTGACTGCTCGTCTCTCGCCTCCTCGTTGCACTCAGGCCGCACCAGCTTCTATGAGCAGTACGGGGTCATCCGCGACGTGCTCCAGAACCACCTCACCGAGGTCCTGATGTATCTCGCCATGGAGCTGCCGGCCAACATCAGCAGCACTGAAGACGTTCTCCGGCGCAAGCTGCAGACCTTCAAGGCATTGCAGGGCCCGGAGAGCACCAGCGCGGTGCTGGGTCAATACCAGGCCTACGCCAGCCAGGTGCGGGAGGAGCTGCAGAAGGCACAGGACTACGTCAGCAGGACGCCGACCTTTGCAGGTGGGGGCAAGACCCAGGCTGATGACTTCATAGGGCATAAAAGATGAGGCGCATGGGGTGGGGTAAGCGCATGGGACTAGGCGATGGGGAGAGCGGCCAAATCCTAATCCCAGCTCCGTCACTTCCTCTGTGGCTGTGGGCCAATCACTTAACTTCTGTCTCTGCTTCCACGGCTGTAACAAGGGGACAGTAGCTGCCTTGTTTATTTCTAGGGCATCTGTCCCTGTGGGACCTAAAGAGCCCAAGGTCCAGCTGCCCAGGGCCCTATAAGGATCTGTTGGCCCATGAAGCCACATGTGGAATTATTACTATAAATGTCGGGGGGGCGGGTTAGGAATTCATTCTATAGTGCCTCCCTTCACTGTATGGGGGCCGTTCCATGTCTCCAAAAGGTAAGAACCGGGGGGTTTCTCTGGGGCCGGTGGACCTCACTTCATCACAAGGCCATCTCTGGCCATGCTGCACGAGCTCAGTGTTTTGATTCTTGGCTAGGGAGTGACGTGACGGCTCATCCGTGCTGTCCTAAGGGGTAGCTAGGCAATCTGAGGAACGTGGTGGGCTAATCGGGAGGGAGCAAGGCAAATCTTTGGGGACCGGGAGAGCAGTGACTGGCAGGGTGATGGGGAGGACTGATTGTGGTGCCAGGGAGACTCCGGATGCCAGGACCCACGCAAGGAGAATGGTGCTTGGGCTCGGGCCTGAGGTTCCCCTGTCATTTCAGGTGTGTTGATTCAGCTAGACAGCCTGCGGTGGGAGGGAGTCCCCTTCCTCCTCACCTCTGGCAAAGCCCTGGACGAGCGGGTAGGCTACGTCCGCGTCCTCTTCAAGAACCGGGCCTACTGCACCCAGCGCGAGAGCCTGAGGGAGGCAGGGCAGAGCCAGTGTGGAGCCAAGCAGATTATCTTCTACATCGGGCACGGGGAGCTGAGCTGTCCTGCCGTGCTGATCAGCAGGAACCTCTTCAAGCCCATCATGCCAGAAGGCAGCTGGAAGGAGGTGGTGGATCGCCCGCAGCTGCGCCTCTTCGGGCTCCCGCTGTCTGATTACTACGTGTACAGCCCCGTGAAGGAGAGAGAGGCTTATTCTGTCCTCATCTCCAGCATCTTCCATGGCAGGAAGGACTCCTTCATCACCACTGAGAACCTGCTGGCTTCTTGGGAGTTCTGGACCCCACTGCTGGACAGCTTAACCCAGCAGGTCCCACGCTTGTACCCGGGGGGCCTGGAGAACCAGCACCTCCTGGACTTTGAAATGGTGGGCAGGGAGCTGTCCTTCACGCTGGAGGAGCCGGTGGAACTGCTGCACATCGACGGTCAAAAGCCGGGCGACTACAGAACCATCCAGGCCAAGTTTCGGCAAAGCCCCTTGGTCTCGGCTTGGCCGGAGGAGCTGATCGCCCGGTTGGCATCAGACATTGAGACGGCAGCAGCCGAGGCTGTGGCACGCTGCGGCGAGTTCCACCTGGCCCTGTCGGGCGGCTCGAGCCCCATTGTCATGTTCCGGCGGCTGGCGACCCACCACTACGGCTTCCCATGGAGACACACCCACTTGTGGCTGGTGGACGAGCGCTGCGTGCCGCTCGCCGACCCGGAGTCCAACTTCCGCAGCTTGCACGACCACCTCCTCCAGCACGTCCGGGTGCCCTACCTCAACATCCACCCCATGCCGGTGCACCTGAACCGGCGGCTGTGCGTGGAGGAGGACCGGGGGCCAGAGCTGTACGCCAAGGAGATCGCAGCGCTAGTGAACAACGCCAGCTTGGACTTCGTGCTGCTGGGGCTGGGCTCGGACGGGCACACGGCCTCGCTCTTCCCGCGTTCATCCAGCGGCCTCGAAGGGGCCCAGACGGTGGTGCTCACGGAGAGTCCCGTCAAACCCCACCAGAGGATGAGCCTCAGCCTGCCTCTCATCAACAAAGCCAGGCAGGTGGCCGTGCTGGTGATGGGGAAGGGGAAGCATGAAATCACAACCCAGATGAGTAGAGTGGGGCAGGAGCCCAAAAAGTGGCCTATTTCAGGGGTCAACCCCAGCTCTGGCCAGCTGGTTTGGTACATGGATTATGACGCTTTGCTTGGATGATCTCTTGGTTTATCCTCCCCTCACCGCCTGTCCCATTGCCCCCTGGAGCCTTGATTTTCCAACACCGCACACAGGCTCCTGTGTTTACAATAACAGCTCCTGCTCTGAACAGTCCCTCTAACTTTTGTGAAGATCCATTGGCTTTAACGGCTCTGTCATCTGAGCCTAGAAAGGGGGGCGGCTCAGCGCTCAGAGATCAGCGTTGTATTCCTGACTTTACCCCTGACTGCTTCTGGGACCTTGGGCAAGCCACGTCGCTGCTCTGTGCCTCAGTTTCCCCCACATCCTATGGGGTTAATAATACCTACCTACCTCGCAGGAGCCATCCAAGACCACTCTGATTAATTGCCTGCAGAGCTCTTCAGGATTCTCAGAGGAGAGGAGCAGAGAGAAGCGCAGTGTTACTGACTGCTAATGTTCACCTCTGATCAGACAGGCTGACAGAAGCATTTTCACGGTGGCCAGAGGCCCAGTCACAGTCCCATTCAGATTGTGCTCTAGTCCCGTATGTGCCAACCCTTTACTTCAGCAAAATACTGACCATTTTCCCACTCTCTTCCTCTATGGAGTCTCCTAGGGCTGGTCTACACTGGGGGGGGAGGGGCGGGAATCGATCTAAGATATGCAACTTCAGCTACGAGAATAGCATAGCTGAAGTCGACGTATCTTAGATCGACTTACCTCGCGTCCTCACGGCGCGGGATTGATGGCCGCGGCTCCCCCGTCGACTCCACTTCTGCCTCTCGCCCTGGTGGAGTTCCGGAGTCTATGGGGAGCACGTTCGGGGATCGATTTATCGTGTAGACGAGACGTGATAAATTGATCCCCGATAGAGGTTAGTACCCCTAGTCTAATGTCTTCTGATGCAGTTCCTGTTTTAGAGCTCTCCTGTATTGGCATGTGTGGGGCCTTGCTTCATTGTAAGGGCATGATTGGGTACAGTCATTGGGCACTGGAGTTTTCCAGACCCTGTCTGCTTGCCTTATGCCATCCACAGGGATTTGTCTCATATTCACCTTTGTCAATTGCATTGGCCCTGTTATTGATTCCACCTCCTCCCCCTCTTCCCCCTGCCCCCCCCCCAAACAAAGAGAAACAACCAGTCCCCTTCCCTACATGGCTGTGTTTATGCAGCCCTGGAAGCTGCAGACACCCTGGGACCATCCCTTGTGTGACCAACACCGCCCCCTCCCTGGCACTGAGCTGTGTGCTGAGTGCCGGTCTGAGGCTTTAGAAATTGTCCTGGTGCACAGGCGTAGCTGTCAGTAGCAATTGCTGCTCTTCCTAAATGGGAAGCCAGCACCCCAGGGGGATGGAAAAGGCAAGGGAGTTTTAGGTTTTCAGGATTATGGGGATTGGGCTGAGAGCATCGTGGCTCAGCTCCCATTATTCTGGAGATGGCATTTGTCTGCGGCGTGACGTTACTGCTGCACGAAGCTCCCCTTGTCAGAGGATCAGGGGTGGAGGGCAGAGTTAGTTGCAGATGGAATTGGGTCTCCTTAAATATCCTGAGGTGCCTTTGTGTTGTACTCCCCGGGAAGAGCCCTCCTCCGCCCTCAGGGGCAAGCTGTGGCATTGTTCATCTCCCCGCGAGGCAGCTGTATACAGTACTACGGTCTTCAGCAGTAATGATCCCGACACCCCAGCGCTTACGACAAGGATACTGCCGTGACCAGGCTGTTACTCCAGGGCACTGGGGTGCTGTTGGATAAAGGGAGGGAGTTTTCTGTCTCCTGGGTGTTTTCTAGCCAATCCACACATTGCTGTCACCGCGTAGGGAGGACACGTCCTTTGAAAACATCTGAGGGAGGACAGAAGAGCATAGACCAACTGCACAAAAGCGGGGGGGGGTGCAGTCCTGTTTAGTAAAAGGGGGAAGAATCTTTAGAACCCTCTTTCCCCCACTGCCTAAATTCCGCCTTGCCCATATGCTGCTCGTCCTTTATATAATCCTTAGCCCCATATACTCTTGTGATGCTATGGCCTGCTTTAGTGGGCTATTTACTATGGAGTGCAGGAGGAACGTTCTTTTTTTAGATAAGGAAACCTGGATTCTGCTGACTGCACTGGGAGATGTTGAGCTGCTCTATGATCTGTTTGGGGGGCGGAGGTAAATCCCCCCAAGCATTGCAGGACCAGGAGTACAAGACAGAGCTGTAGGAACCCAGAATAGGGACTTTCTACCAGTTCCTGGCAAATCCAGATCCTCTGGTGTCTGATCCGCACCCAGCAATGCCACATCCTTGGCTGGCAGAACTGGAGAAGGGAAGAAAGTGGCGGTTTTCAGAAGGATTTTTAGCAGCCCCCTTTTGGGGAGGGTGAGTTGCTGGCTGTTGACTCTCTGATGTTTGCAGCTAGTGAAAGAATTAGTTGTCCGGCACTCCAGTCTTGTCGGAGTCCAGATGGACGTCGTCAGTCAGTGACGGGCGCGACTGGAGTTCAGTGGAAAAGCTGGAGTCTGACACAAGATGGCGCCCTGACCAAACAAACCAAGTGGTGATAAATTGTGTGTATTTTCCAAGTTTGAGCCTGAAACCAGGGGAGGCGGCGCCTGTCCTGCTTGCGAGATTCTCAGGAGCCAGCCCTCGTGACCGACTCGGATGTGAAATGCTGATGGAGTGGGGAGGGAGGAAAAGTCTATCCAGGGGTCTGGGAGGTGGATACTGGGGCCAAATTCTGTCTGACTTGCACCCCACTGAACTCTATGGACATTGGTGGAAGAGGCAGTCAGGGCACAGGCAGACTGCTAGCCGTGTTGATGCTGCATAAGCTGGGAAGGAGTTGGGTTCACGCTCATGGCTGAGGGGCTAGCAGGAGTAACAAATAGGAAAAACACACTAAAATCAGCAGCGAGGATTCGGAGTATAACAAAGGCTGCAGGACATTTCTTCCTGTTTTTCAGAGTAGGACTTCACTGTAAGCTGGTTTGGAGTTCTGAGAATATATAGATTTGTTGCGGGGGTGGGGTGCGTTGTCAAGGTGCTTCAAAGAGGGAAGGCATATGGCTAACGAGAAATATCCAGCGTTAACAGAGTTAATACCAAAAAAACCGTGGAAGGGATGTAAAACCCCTCCTCTGCTGAGTCAAGCCAGCCTCTGACTACTAGAGATCAGGAGGGGATGTAATGTGGGGGGTCAGATTATCCCACATCTGCGGGGGGGCGTCTCCTGCACCTTCCTCCAAAGTATCGGATGCTGGCCGTTGTCCGAGACGCGGGGGACATGGGTCACCTTCAGTCTGGCTGTTCCTGTGCACCTGTGTTCCCACTCCTGCTCATTCCGAATGGCTTTTATTGTAACACGCAATCCTCTTTTAATGCTGTGGATAAAAATAAAATGGGGAAGTTCTTGAGAACCAATCCCTTGTTTTCAGACCCGGGGCAAACTAAGGTAGTGAGAGCAGTAAGCTGGGGTGGGAGACGTGTTCTGATCGCAGTGAAATTCAGAGCTGAGGCTGCTTTGACGTCTGCCACTGAGGTCGTTGCACCAGTGCAAGCATCTAGTGCGGAAAGACCAAGCTGCAGTTTGCACTGGTGCCTCTGATCAATCTGGGATAAATGGCTCTGCTGCAAGTAGCTTGGCTTGTCTACATTAGGGAGGTTGCACTGGTGTAGCTACATCATCGGCTCAGATCCCGAGGAGACAAAGGCTGTCTAATCAGATATGAGCATGGATTGGAGCTACCTCCTCCATGGATTATAATGGCAGGCGGGCCTACCTATCAGCCTCAGAGCAAAGGGTAAGCGTAAAGCATTGTGTAGTGGGGAAACCCTGGTGGTTGCTTTTAGAAGGGACGATGCTGTAGTTTACTGGCATTAGAAAAGGTTTTTGGTCTTCCTCTTCTCCATCGTGTCTCATACCATCCGCTACATTGTTTTCTCCAGACAGAAAATCCTCCCGCTTCTGAAAGCATTAACACAGACTGCCACCGCCATCACAACCCCCTACGATAGGACCTTGTCACGGGGTGCTCCCTTAGCTACCCGCTGTGCCTCACTTCCTGGCCTGCTTCCATGGTCCCTCAGTCCCAAACCAAAGAGAGGATACAGGTATCCTGCAGGCAGGGCTTTCCATACAGCTTTTGAGCTCCCCCCTTCCTGATCCTCCCAATTACTGCCAGTTATTCCAGTCGTGTAGTAATTACCCCCCAGGTGCTCATAATCTCCTAATAGAAAAGTGGTTAACTGCTTCCCGCTGAGCCCGTAGCCTTTCCTTGTCTGCAACAACGTCAGTGCTTAGGGTGGTGCTGCTCGCCCTCTGTCACAGATCTAGACGAACACAATTCCCCCTGCTCTGCTGGCTTGAAGTGCCAGGTTGCTAACAAACACTGCTAATTCCAAAATGTGCCCCCGGGGCTGAAGCAGCCATGTAGAGGAGGAGGTTTTAGGCCTGGGATGGCTGAAAATTCAAAGCTTCATTTTTCTTTGTTAAACAAAATGAGCTGTTTTACCTTCAGCTTCATTCAAATGGCGTGTGTGGTGCAACAGGTTTAATGTAATTAAAAAAAAAAAGGGGCGCGGGGGAGGAGATTCCAGGAAAATAAATGTAATGGCTATCAGCAGAATTTCTCTCGAGATCGGAAGGGATTGTGACATTGGAGGAGTGGCTTAGGGGGTGGAGTGTTTCCTTGATTCTTTTTTTAATAATTTGGCTGAAATTTTTTTAAATGACTAATGGTTTTGAGGTGCCCCACTTGACACCTCAAAGAGGCCTGATTTCTCAGAAGTTGAGTGCTCAGCTCTTTCTGAAAATCAGGACCTCTTAAGATATATTAGGTTGGGCACCCCAAAATTGTGACTAAAACCTCAGGTTTCCCTTTATAAAATTCCAATAGAAACTTTGTACGTCAGTGTATCCTTCGTTAGTAATTGTGCTCTGGAATATATCTGTGTTGTATTCTTCACTGTATTTCTCAGGGCGATGTCTTTTTCAGAAGCATCTGTTTTAAACTCTTTAATCCTTTGTTTGTATTTGCCAAATGGAAAATAACAGAGTGGGGATAAATATTTTTAAACCTCCGAAGTTTACCAGCAAGAGATTTGGGGAGCAGGATGTGGGGGAGGGAACGTGAAACTCTAAAATAAGTCTGACACTGAAAAAGACAGTGTGGTAAAGATCTACTTCATTCTAGGCCATGGAATCAGAGTGCTAGTTACATTTTGGGAAAGCTATTAATAGAAACGGTTGATAGATTTTTATTTTCAGTGAATAGTGCGCTAGGAATGCTGTGTGCAGTTGCGTTGCTGAGTGAATGTGTGTTAAACATCCTTGCAAAGAGGAGCCCATTGAGTGACTTTTTGCAGTCATTTTATCACACCACCAATTATTTGTATTGTCACCGCGCTTTTTTTAAAAGGAAGAACTATTTCTTAACAGTGTTCATACAAAGCAATGATGTGACTGTTTATATACGTTTTTACAAAAATCTAACACTGGAAACGGGCCATTTTTCACATGGTTTAATGTTTATAAATCAAGCTGTAAACAGTTCTTTTCCTGTTAATAATGAACCATAAAATGTTTGGGAATTGATGGAAATTTATTTTTAAAAAACAAATATATATTTTTGAATAATAAAATCGTTTTTTGGCCTAAAGCTGCCTTTCATTCTTCTTTTGTTTGTCCTCTGTTTGGTGATTGCATTTAAATTGTACTGGTTCTTACAAAGACAGTAGGCCTAAATTTACAAGAGTTTGAAGAGAGTAGGTCTGCATTTTTGGCATGAGTGTTCATTTCAACTCTCTCAATTTTTGCCTGCCTAACCTGAGCCATTTTAAAAGGGCTAGGGTTTCAGAAAGTGCTGAACCATCCTCCTTCTAAAAATCAAGTTCTTTTTAAGGTGTCAGGTTGGGTTTCCAAAATCACCAGTCTTTGAAAACATAGGTTCTAATGTCCTGGAATCAGCCCTATGCTGCTTGGGGAAAATCTCCAGTGCTCTATTGATTTATTCTATGCATTTCTGTAGAAGCCATCACCATAGTATCTGGTTGCTTAGTAACTTAGGTTCCAGTGAGTCAAGATTGTGTAGTTGAATTTTAAAATTAAATCTGTAGACTGTCTTCTACAGAATATGCTGTCTGCTGAATAAGAGAATTCCAGTGCTGGGGCCGAAACCAGCTCAGTGTTCTCTGTTCCCCTGTATTCCTAACAGCCACTGCCTAGAACCAACCCCCTCCTTAGTTAGTGCCATCACTTGAAAAATTAAATACATTTTAATATGTTAGATTTTTCTCTCCAGTAAACAAAACAAAAAGGTGTAGAACCTAGTCGGGGGAAGGGGGGCGGAGGGAGGAGAGAAGGGAGGAGCAGAAAAAGAAACTGCATCATTTGGGGATGAGGAGGCAAAACGTAGAAGTTTATGCTGTTGCCCCTTTGGGGCCTAGCAGTTTGTCAGTGTTTGGGGGTAAGTTGTTTTAATTAGGAGGAGAAACTGATTATACAAGTCAGGTATTTCTTTAGTGCAATCCTGCTTATTTAAAAAGAGTGTACATAAAAGTCCTGTTTCCCTGAACACAGTAGAAACAAAAAGCGGCAAGCTGTTTCCTTGATCATAAATCCAAGTCTGCTTTTTCATCAAGTACTGTGCCCAAAAGCATCTCTGTCTCTCACTTCCCTTTGAAGGCCACACTCACCACTGCTTTGCTGGTTTTCTGCCTCTGTTACATACAGATACTTACCTGAGCCAACCAATCCCCTAGTGCCTGCATTTTACAGTCAGCCCCAGGAAAACTCCTCAGTCAACATGGCTTAACTTCTTATTGGACTTATCCTGAGGCCCATTGTTTTGGGTGGTGGCTTCCTCTTGTTTGCAGCTATCATTACATAAAGAGGCATTTCATTGCTCCTTCCATTTAGCCTGAAAGAATGGTGCACAGCACATGCATCAGCTTTAACCAGGCCTATGATTGTCTACAGATTAAAGACCTGCTTGATGGCAGCCAATGACCTCTTCCAGAAGAACACTATACCATCAGAAACACATATTCTATTAGACTGTGGAACAGTCGCCGAATGGAAGCAGGTGAAACTTTCTAACTTGACAAAGGGCTAGCTTCTGTGCTGTATCACCCAGGAGGATGGGTGACAAGTATGACTTCATGCTGCCTGGATTCTGGGTTGTTGCAGGGGCCAAAATGACCCTGGGTAAAATTAGAGTATTACAACAGCCACCCCAGAGCTGCCCCTGGGCTGTATTGCAGGCGGGGTTCTCTGTAGCACCAAGTGGTAGGGGTACTTCCCCTTCTGCCCCCAGGACTCCCTCTAGCATGCCTCTACGCCAAGGCTTGCGTGGGAGGCAGCGTAGGGCCCTTACAGCTGCCTTATGCTGCTTCTGTACTTGGGGAATTCTCCCCTGGTCCTTTGTGGCTCAGTTTCTGACTCCAGATGTTGATGGGGCAGTAGGCATGGGTCAGAATAGGGTCCAGAATTGGCCTTATAGTATGAGAAAATGTGGAGTAAAGGAACACTGCTGCACTGGCCAAGGTGTGGGGGAATGATAGCCACATCCTAATAGCCCTTTGATGTCCCCTGGACTGATGTCCGTATAACTAGGGCCACACATGAGCATCTCATGCACATGCTGAATGGAGATGGCAGCCTATTACATTAGGATTCAACAAAACACGTGTCAGTTAATAAATCCAAATCGATGATTGAAAACATATGTAACAGCTCGGCCACATGGGAGAGATGTTGCTTCCCCGTTCAGTCACAAACTGTTTGGAAAGGCAATTCTTGTTCAGCGCATATCCCTAAAGGTGGATGCTTAAAAATACTGGCAGGTTTTTACCAAAGCCAGGTCTCCCCTCCCCCACCAGGCGCAGAGGCAGGACTGATGGAAAGGATTGAAGGTCTGAGACGCTTGCCCATAGTAGCACCTGAATCATTTCAGAAATAAATGTCTCTTTTCATGGTTGCCTTGGCTTCTCCGCAGTCGACCGCTAAGCTTGCCCTGTGCAGATCTGGAATTCCAGGCTCCTCTCCTTTGTAATGGTTTGATTTAATTTTCCCCCCAAAACAGTACGATTGAAAATGGATGTTTCATAAAAAGGGAAGGAGAAAATGCAGAACAAAGGAGGAAAAAAGTGTCACATCTCAGGAATCCCTTTGATTCCTAAACAAACGAGTGGATGAATTGTCTGTGTGTGTTTTAAATGGCTACAGTTCAGCCCAGGTCCTACATCTGCAGAGCTGGCATGTTATCCTGTAGCAATGCAGCACCAGGCTTTCCGGCGGACAGGCCTGTGCCCTTACAATGCTCCTTCCCTCGGGACGCACTGGCTCCCCCTTGACGAACTGCTCTTGGGAAAATTTCCTTGGAAAAGCTGTCCCTATAATGCGCAGAGCAGACATCACTTCATTTTTTCCTTCATTCGGGCTCCCTTTTGTAGGCATCCACTCGTACACAAAACAAGCTGTGTCATGTGAATGACACTGCGTCAGAGGGTCATTCACCATTGCTGCCCCTGGTGCAGAGACCAAGGTGAATAAGCACCTTGGGGACGTGCGTTTTGGGGCACACACTGTAGCAAAGTAGTGGAACAGGGAGTGCCATATGTTTGAGAGGGGCTGGAACAAAGCTGTGTGCTGAAGGGAGGGTCACAGGGTGAGCTGGCTCGTTGAGAGATTTGGGGGTTCAGCTGCTTCACTTTGCCAGGCTCAGCTCACCTCCCCTGGGAAGGGAGTAAGTCCTGGGGTCACAGGATAGAAGCTGAGTGGCTCTAGGGTGACCAGACAGCAAGTGTGAAAAATCGGGATGGGGGTGGGAGGTAATAGGAGCCTATATAAGAAAAAGACCCAAAAATCGGGACTGTCCCTATAAAATCGGGACATCTGGTCACCCTAAGCGGCTCAGAACTAGGACAGCTGGGATAAAGGACAGCCTGAGGGCAGGGAGATAAGGAGGTAAAGAGGCTCTCCTTTGTGGTCAGGTAGCTGGGCTGTGAGATCGGAGCCTGCAGGAGACCCTGGGTCAGAGGAAAGGGCGTGGTTGAGACATGGAAACGTTTAGGTTAAACTTTTATTTGGAAGAAATAAAACTCCAGCCCTGAAGTAAAGGGACTAAAATTGTGTGGCTATTGAGTGGGCTTGATGCACTGGCTGGTGAGCTGGCCCGCTGGCTAACCAAGGGGGAGAGGTGAAATGGAACCAGGCCCCCTTACTGATCTCCTTGACATGACGAGTTGTCGGGGGGGCTAGAGCAGAGAAATAGGAAGTCAGGACTTCTTGGTTCTGTTCCCAGCTCCGAAGAGGGAATATTGTCTCATGGTTAGAGCAAGGGAAGGCAGCCAGGATGGCAGGGCTCTGCCACTGATTCAGGGAGGGCAAGTCACCTAACTTATCTGTGCCTTGGTTTCCCATTCTGTAAAAGGGCTGTCATCATCCCATAAGGTAGGCGATTTTTTAAAAGCTTAGTGAAGGTTTGTAAAGTGCTGGATTAAGGGTGATGAAGGGAGAGCATTATAGAGTCCTTGGGAGGTGTCTCTCTCTGTGTGTGTAAAGACACATTCACCATAAAATACCAACCCAAGTACTAGAAGTAGAACAGCAGCAAGCAAGATCTTTTGTGTGTCTTGCCTGTGTATTTCCCGGCTGCTGAGAGCAGATGCAGCTTCTTCCCCAGCCGCAGTATTCTGACATGATGGTCAGACCGTCTATTAAACAAACCGCCCACACGCTGCAGTGTTATGACTTGCAGAGGGACTTTTTTTACAGATGCTTTTCAAAGCCTGACGAAGCCGCAGCCTTTCTCTAGGCACTCTAGTGTCTGGAGCCAAATGTGCTTTTGAGTCAGGCATCTCACCAGCAGGGGGTGCTCTTTCCTAACGCAGAGTGAGCAGGACACTGAACCAGTTATTTTCTCCGCCCAGTGCTGCAGTGCATTGTTCACAGGCGATGCAGAGCCCAGCTGTCTGCGCATCACTGAGAGCACGATTACTAGAAATAAACTCCTCTGGGTTAAGCTGGGACACAATGTTTGTTTTAGTGGCTGCTCTTCTGGGGCAGGGCCCATGCAGCCTGTAAGGGAACCATAGACTTTCTGTGGCTCCCTGTGTTTCCTCCATCATTTTGGGTCAGTAAGACCAGAAAATATTTTCTCTATTTCACATTCATGCAGACTCCTTGTGCACAAAGAAGACGACTCTGTGTGCAGGCTGTGACAGTGGGATCCGCCTCCTGTGCGCAGACTGGTGATTGTGCTATATAGTAATGGCTGGGACAGCACTATATGCCCAGAGGATAAAGGAGGGACGGTTGTCTTAGCTGTTAAGGTTACTGCAATTGCAGTGGTGATGATTAAAACCATGGGCTTGTGAAGGGCCCTTCTCTGGAGCAGCGAATGCATCTAGACCAGTGCTCCAGGAATGCACACCCATTGAGGGGTCAGGAAGGGGTGTTATGACTGCCGCCCACGCATCCCAAGTTTAACTGGACTCTCGGTGGCTGGATACCTCTATAAAATATTATTTGAATCATCTTTGATGAGCATCTTTTGTGCAAAGAGCTTTAGGGCTCTAGACGGCCAATACCAGTGCAAAGCAGCCAGTGGCCATTTGGCGCCCCTGTGCAACCGGGGTGGGCCAGAGGAAACGGTGG